ACTGCCAACATTTTTGAGTGTGGTGTATCTACCAGACACCCCCTTATGCCCTGCCCCCTCCCAACCCCAAAAAAAGAAAAAAAAATATATCAAGATTATCTAGTGAGTTCACCTGATGAATGTTACATGACATGACACGTTACATGTAACATGAGTGACCTCAATGACAATCAAACATTTATAGTGGTGGGGTGTACCCACCAGACATCCCCTTATTCCCTACCACCAGAATTGACCTAGATTAGGTAATGAGTTAACCTGATGAAACTTACTGTACTGTGTAAGATGTTCATTGTATAAAGTTATTATGAATGGTCACCGTCAGACAATTCTGATGGTGGGGGGTGTTTACGGCCCGACACTGATCACCTGTAAAAAGTAGTATTAAAACTGAGCACTGCATGAATATTTTTGGAAGCACACTTGAAACATCAAAGGTAGTTTTCATCCATCTGTGTTAAATTGAAAATTTACTTTGGCCCTCCAATTGATTTTTATGCCCACCCCTACTCTAAATAATATGAGTGGATTTTAAGGATAGAAGTGTGGGGTTAATAAGGGTGGGTGGAGAGCCATGAAATTAGGTTTAGACTGTATGGAAAACTTCAAGGCTGGGTGACTCCACCTCCTCTCCCTCCCCCATAACTACAACCCTGAATTTGCAAAATGTAGGCCTATCATACAATACTATATAATCTTTTATTATTTTTAGTAGTCAATATTACAACAGTTTAACAATGAGATTCTATACAGGATTGAAAGTTTATGAATGCCCAATATTCAGTACGAGTAGATTTACAAATGTTTTACAGTACAAATAAAAATTGTAATGGAACTGGGTTTATTCCATTCGTAGAAGCCTTTTGATAAAGAAAGTGTTCCTTTTTAGCAAGAGTTGCCTCGGTTAAAACTCACTCGGACTATATGAAATTAATTATAAGCTTGAATTGTTAATCTTAATGCAAGGAATACTACAGTAACTTCACGTTTAATTTTAAGTTGAATTGTACAAGTATATAGTTTGCCTATTTGCCTAATTTGCTTTAGACAAATCTAAAAACTTTTTTATTACAGGAATGTTAACTACCAAGTGAGTGTTCTTATTAAGCACTACCAAGTGAGCAAATAAGGCAAGTTTAACATTCCTGTAATAAAAAAGTTTTTAGATTTTTCTAAACCAAATTAGGCAAATAGGCAAACTATATACTTACATTTAATTTGAATTTTATATAATTCAACTGGTAATTAAAATTAAATGTTAAAAAAAAAGTTACTGTAGTATTCCTTACAATAAGATTAAAAATTCAAGCTTATAATTAATTTCATATAGCCCGAGTGAGTTTTAACTTAGGCAACCCTTCCTAAAAAGGTACACTTTCTTCACCAAAAGGCTTCTACGGATGGAATACTGTAACCGAATAACCTGTTCGTTGAAGCACGAACTCCTAAACCCAGTACTATTACGATTTTTAATTGTAGGGAAATCTACTTTACTGAATATTGGGCATTTATAAATTTTAAATTCTGTATAGAATCTCATTGTTAAACTGTTGTAATATTGACTACTAAAAATAATAAAAGATTATAGTATTACTATAGAGTATTAGTACTTTTTCCATCCAGTCTGAAGCTAATTTCATGGCTCTCCACCCACCCTTATTAACCCACACTTCCATCCTTGCAGTATAATAGACTCTTATTTAGAGTAGGGGTGGCCATAAAAATCAATCGGAAGGCCAATGTGAATTTTCGAATTTAACACAGAGGGCCGAAACCTAGCTTTGATGTTTCAAGTGTGCTTCCAAAAACGTTCATGCAGTGCTTTTATGTCATTTGATTTTCAGTTTTAATATTACTTTTTACAGGTGATCAGTGTCGGGTCGTAAAAAACTAGGGGTTTTCTATCACTGTGCCCACCACAATGCCGAACACTTCATAGTTACTTTCATCACATTAACTTACTAGATAATACTAGATAATCTAGGTTATTTTTTAATAAGGGGGTGTCTGGCAGACACACCCCACCATCAGAATTGTCTGGCAGTGGCCATTCATAATATTCATAATTTTACAGTAAGTTTCATCAGGTTAAAGTCAGACTCCGGAGGAAAAAAATGTTTTGATATGTTGTAGAACTGATTTTTCCAAGACAGAAAAAAGTTGTTTGACGAAAAACTCCTTTGGGGTACCGGTATTACTTCTGCATGTATAACTTCCGCATACAAAACCCCCCAAAACAATTTATAAGCTAGTAAACAATAACAGGAAATGTACAATAAAGCGTTTTGAAGTACCAGTGTATATTTTTTATTTAGATACTTCATGTCCATAATTTGATCAACAAAATTTCTCCGAAGATCAAGTTAATGTGGCTAATAAAAAGAACACAAATGCAAATTAATTGACTAATTGTTTTGCATAATTACATTAATTATACTGGATATCACTGAAACAGATCGAAAGACAAGTGTATACTAAAACTCCACTACACAGCTTATAGAAAGAAAAAAAACATGAATATTTGCAAAATACATTACTACTGTATATTAAAACAAATTGCACTGTTGGAGCACTGATAGTCTCTGTAACCAGACACACTTAAAAAACAGTAGTCTATTAAGGAGACTATCTAATACACTAACGTTGCATTATGTAGAGAAAACAATACAATTAAAATAAACGAACAGAATAGAAAACTATTACAATATGATATAAAGGTTAGCTAAGACTATGGTAATCAAACAGCATAAATTAATTAAATTAATTACACAACAATTAATTAAATGAATTTACTTTAACAATATATATTAATGTGAAGTGACCAATGATTACCAACCTGTTAGGACAATAGACATTTTCTCTTTTCATTGATCGTTGAAAATCTTTCATACAAAATATAATAAACAATACAACAAAAATAATTATATTTTTAGAAAATAAATAACATGTTTTAAAAAGTAAAAAAATCAAAATAATTATATAGGATGTACTGCCACCCCAACAATAAGAAAACCTAACAAATTAAAATAACTTCAAATTGCTTACTAAAAAAAAACATTTTCAATGATTTACAACAAAATCCTTCAATTTGTAGGCAGAAATATAAGAGTACAGTATTTGCAAAAACTATAGGATTGGTTGTGGGTATATTGTACTAACGTCCGTAAGTTTGTTTATCTCCACCGTACGTGGCACTCCTGCGTACGGTTTGAGATAAAACTTGTGTAAATTGTCATTATTTGAAAGAGATTGGCGCCGCAAACGTCTGGAGATGTGTAAAAGATAGGACGTATAGCCACTTCTCTTTTGCTATGCGAGAATTCTATCTTGTGTCTGGCATTTTTGGTATTATAAGTATTCGTAAATTTGCATGAATTCTATTCTACATTGAACACTACATAATATTTTATTGTAGTATATAAATTAAGCATTATATATTTATGTTAAATCTAATTGTTCAGTTTATGTTAGTTTTATTAAGGTGGCAGTGTATCGCTAAATTAAATTTAAATATAATAAACAGCTAAAAAATAGAAAAAAAAATCTTTAATTTTACTTTAATTTCATGTAGAAGTGTTATTCAGTTTACAAAATATTCTCAAACTTAAAATAAAGTTGCTGAATAATTTACAAAATGCAATAATAAAAGTAATAAAATGATAATATAGATACTGATGATGATGATACTAATAATAATATTAACAACAACAATAACATAATTAATAATTAATAATAATTTTGAAAAAGATTCTGTGTGTTCTGCTTGTAAATATCTTAGTCTAAAGATTATTTGAGATATTCTATATACATCACTTAACAATATCTATATTATGTAATGCAAAACAGGGTATCTAATCATATACATCATGCATCGACTGTTACAAGCCGATCAAATATACACAGCCTCTCTCAAATGAGCATTACACCATGCCAAGGTTAAGATGTTCACATAGCCGCTAATACCGCAACAGCCTGTGTTACGCCATCCTGGCAAATGACACAGGAATTGTACTCAATTTACTACTACAAAGGTGAAAAATAAATTAATCATTATTTAACCCAATGGTTGTATTTAATCCAAATCAAACAGATCAGTAAGTCATTGTTTTTCAATTAAACCACATTTGCTCGAAGATTCAAAGCGTCATAACATGACGAGTTGGAATAAAACTGCATAGGTTATGTCACGTGGCAATATTAAAATCTAAACACAGTTATGATGTACAACATAATTTTGTTCAGTGTTAATATACAAAGAGGACAACAGCAAATGATGCTCCACTCAGCTGATTTGCATACTATTGGGGGTGCTTTTCAAATCAGTTATAGGTTCAAATCTTGGTCAATCAAAAATAGCTCTTCCTTAGCAACAAGTTATTAATTTTTTTATTTGTTATTAGTTAGAGCATTAAGGATCTGAAATGATCAGTTCTACACTGCACATCAAATTTTCTTTAAAACACCAAGAACATAAAAAATGGATGCAGATAGACACCATCAAGTGGTTCGTAATCAATTGCAGTGTTAGCAAAAAAACATATTCTATCAAAATCATTGTAGAATCTTAGTGGTCTTTGATACACGAAAATTGGATTACTTAGTACAATCCCGATAAAGCTTAATTCTATTATGTGCATCAATAGTAGAAACCAAACATTTATTCATATCAAACCAGTTAGCAGCTGGAATAAAAATAGATGCAACATTTTCTTGCAACGCAACACAATAAAATTGTTCCACTAATAAATTATGCCAACATAATGTTAATGACAGGCAAGGGTCAATCAATGCCAACACTCGGTTAGGAAAAACACTTAAGGAAAATTTATCATATTTACAAAGAATAGCAGAAAATAACAAAACAGGTTATATAATCAAATTTACAAATCAAAATTATAATAAATATTTTAAAAAATAAAATGAAAAGGGCAAAGAAAACAAACGAAAATAACAAGAGATAAATATGTTTAAAATGTATATAAAATATTGAAATTTGGCTTTTTATTTATTACAGTTTTGATGACAGCAGATAACCAATAAGGATTTAAAATATCAATAAGCAAATGGGGTACTGTATTTTAAAAACTGTTAAATTCTTCACGACAACAATGTCCAGGACATCAAAGCATTTAGATTGCTTATCACCAACCACAAAGATTTATTATTAAACATCTAATAAAATTAAACATGTGTTATTTCTAAGGCAGAAAATAATACTGTAATTAAAAGTTTAATAATAAACTTCAATTATATGTATAAATGCAAACAAACATAAAGGCAATAAAATATAAAATAAAGTCAAGGCACAAAAACAGATTTGAGAAATATATTAAAATTATTTATAATATGCCCTGGAAAAGCATTTGTAGAACAAAGGTATGGGTTGGGCACAAAATACATGTTTACTGGTAGACTGAGTGTACACCACTACAAGTAGACTATATACTTCTACTAGTAGACTTGCACCTGTAGTTGTAGATTGTATACCTCTGCACTGTACATCTACCAGTAGACTATACACCTCTACTAGAAGACTTAGTAGACTGTACACCTCTACCAGTAGATTGTAAGCCTCTACCTGTACACTGTACAGTACATCTACCGGTAGACTATACACCTCCACCAGCAGACTGTATACCTCTACCAGTAGACAGTAAGCCTCTACCTGTACACTATACACCCCTACCAGTAGACTGTACACTTCTACCAGTAGACAGTAAGCCTCTACCTGTACACTGTACATTTACCAGTAGACTATACACCTCTACCAGTAGACTGTAAACCTACCTGTACACTGTACATCTACTGGTAGACTGTGCACCCCTACCAGTAGACTGTACATTTTTACTGGTAGACTGTCTAACAAACACTACTGTAGACTGTCTACCTATACTTTAGACTGTGCACCTCTCTTGGTGGTAGACTGTATTAGAATATAGAGCCCATGTGTGCTATAATTTTTTCAATTCCTCCTGAAGGTAGTGAATTACCCACAATGCAATGATAAAAAATGCTAAATAAAGTTTATAGATTCAAAAATATCAAAATAAAAATAATAAACCACCACACTATGAAAAAAAAGTTATTGCTTACTGTTATATTATAGTTGAATAGCTACCCAATATGCACCACCCGCGAATGAACATTTAAATTTACTATAGTTGGATGATATTATCATCCTGGATGTGCTCACATTATCTTTCACCAAATTCGGCAAGCAAATAAGTATTGTGCCGACAACAATAGTACCTCATGATTTTGACATTCTTCTTTACAATCAGCCAATCAAATTATACTCTTTAGTTAGGGCATATATTTTACCCTGGCTGTTTTAAAATGAGAATAAAATTTGGCAAGATGCACATAAAATACCAACAACTATTCATAAAAACCGCTTTAAAAGAACAGATGACATGAGGGAGTACCACAAACATGGAGTAAAATAACTACTTGACAACAATATCTCAACAACTTTCTAAAATTGCTCTTGTACAGTAAATTTCAGAAATAACCAAATGTGTACATGCACTAAAATTGTCAATATTGAATATTTTTTATAATTTGTTTTATTTTTTTTTTGCTGAATTTTTCATTTACAGGCATATTTAATTATGCTTATATTTACTTCTATTATTCTTTACCAGTATTTATTATTTTATTCACATTATTTTTGCAGTACCCTCACAGCTCAATAATTATTTCCAAAATAATGACATTGCTAAAAATATTGCAATTTTTAGTTACAGCGCCCTTGGCATCACATTATTGGTGTGCAACATCGTACACATAATTGTCTTAACTGCAATGACATTTGAACTTTTAGAAATGAAGTCAAATGTTCTGTCATCTATATAGCAAAATTAAAATGATAAACAAGTAGGGTCATTAAAAAATTGTTATACACAACGTTACCTACAATCTGAGGGAAGACCTTCATAAACGGACACAATTTTACAGGATTCATTTTGTTCACACTGATTAAAACAATGGGCGATTACAGTAAATAAATGTTAAATATGGGACAAAGATTTATAACTTCAAATGAACTACCTTTTGGATATCACTTTCAATACAACCATCAATCATTTCCATATAGTATTAAACACAAATTAACATGATAAATTCTTACCCAGAGGGCAGAAAAAAATGACACATTTTCTAGCACTCTCTAGTTTGTTTTACTCATGTTATTCATATTCCGAGTGACGTATACTCCTTGACCTTGAAATAGATGATATCATGACACCTTGATGCTGTGACCTTTTGAAGTTTTAACTCACCAGTTACCCATTCCTGCCCGTAGGGTTAAGAAATAAACTTGGGAGTTTGCTGGGCGGATAGATGCGAAGAAAACCTGTGGATGTAAAGTTAAGGACATTTTTGTTTTTTTTTTAAATACAAAAATTAAATCTGATGAAATGTAATTTCTATCTACATCAAAAAAGCAAAAAGATAGGCTAATGTAATACATATCTAATATTAGCAATATTAATGAGAAAAATTTATCATAAGTCAGGAAGAAAAATAAACAAAAAAAGAACAATTGGATTCACCATGAACAATTTAACAAGATATATATTTTAACAACACCAAAGTTAAATATTATTAGACCTTTTCTGTCTCATAATGTAGTCCACCATCTTAGAACCCAGCAAATCTATTCATGACCTTGTTAAAAACCTAACAGAGGGCAGGTGGTGGAGAGAGGAACGAGGTGAAGCATTAACGTTCTTGGTTTATAATCGAGACGTTAGGCTTTCCAGTTTGAAGCTGGTTACTCCTTGATGTGATTGAGCAAAGCAATCTGCATTACTTCTCTTCAGGCAAAAGCTGAATTGGTAACTCACTGGAATTCTTTGAACTGCCACTGATCAAGAAAAAAATATGAAAGCAGAAATAAATCAATACTTACTTTATCGTTCCTTTCGCACAAGAATCGCAATTGTTGGCTTCTTTTATGCATGAACACACCGTCCAGGTGGCCGGTGTCGGCAGCACGAATCTCAATAGCCTTATTGCCCCAGCCCATGATCTGTCCAGTACTGATGTATGCTGTAAAACAACACATACATGAAACAAAGTTATTTACAACAAATGCAATAACCATGGCCTTCAATATGATTTTTGTGAGAAAACTGTACATTTTTGGGACAAAAAGAGACAATCAGGAATTAGTGTTCTCAACACACAACTTACCTACTGATGTTGGAAGCTCTCCCCATTGTAAAATCACATCTTTCACTTTTTCTCCATTTGTGTCCACAAATACTCCCTCATCTATATATAAAAAAGTTAAAGTCATTATTTGCAGACAATAAAATATTTCAAAAACATCAACAACATAGCCCAAAGATGACTTAACCAGAAAAATATAATCGCAAATTACAAGTTACTAGATCAATATATTTTTAATGATTTCTAAGTTTCTTTAAAATTTGTAAAACAAACTTATTGAAGTTACAATGACACCAATATTCTAATTATTTATTTACTTTAAGTACACAACACATGCACTAAGGATTGTCAATAACGAATATATCACTGTCATACTTGTAGGTGACAATCCCTTTCACAAGGCAAACATACACACACAATGCTTTACACAAACTAAATCTCAATATGAGGTTTAGGGAGTGAAGGTGTTTTGGTCGTGAGAAAAAAATCCTGCAATACTGGCAGGAATTGAACCCTAGACCTTGGGATTGGTAAACAAGCATCTTAAATTCACTCAATTTGGCAGGCCTATATAGTAGCCACTCCAACAAAATCAAAATGATTATATTTTCATATATTATTCAGACTTTAGAATGCTTTATCATTGAATTTTGATAATATATTTTCATGTCTCAAATATTTAAGTATCAATTGTTTTTCAAATAATTTTCAAGTGAGTACAAAACATGAATGACCCTTTAGCAACTCGTATAATCTACTAAGGTTTCAGTAAGCAAAAGTTTGTGCTTAGCAGATACTTACTGTCATAACACAACAACAGCTGTTTGTTTTCTGTGTTAGGTACGATTACAATACAATGAGGTGTGATTTTTCCAGAATACTGTAATAATAAGAATCAAATATAAAGATTGTAAATTTTGTGCCATTTTCTCAAAATGAAATACTTAATCATCTATCTATCAACATTATTATCTTAGTTCTACAAAGTTATTTAAATAAAATATTAGGCAAGTAATAAATACAAAATAAAACAAAAGAATATATTAGTTGTATTGTACTTAAAACATTTGACATTTAAAAGTGTCAATAATGTACTTCAAACATTAATACAAATTTCATCATACATGCTGAGCACACACAATACTAAATTATGGTCCTGGTGGATAGAATTTAGCCACTGTGTCGATAATTCATACTGCAAATATGTGCGAACAGTTGTGCAACAACCAAAATGTCCACTGATGAATCTTAGTTAAGAACACATATTCCAAGTATTGAAATGCACACCATCATTTTGGGATTCCTGATGATGACATAATTAATGTTGAAATATAGAATCCCGACATGATGACATGCATTTAAATACTTGGAGTATGTATTGTACTTTCAGCTGTGAAACGTTAAGGTAAAGTGACCCTTTGTCACTGTCAAAATTAGTCCAATGTGAACACCACCTTAGTGTGTACTTACAGAGCTAGGTGAGTAGATGTCATTGACAGATGCTGAATCTAGGTCAATGGCATGGAAACCAACACTTGACCCATAAATAACCTTCAACCTATGACCATCCTCAACGGTCAACTCCACAATTTGAGGTCGGAAAACTAGATTTGGAAATGACTGAAAGGAAGGAAACAAGCTCAAATTAATGATTTGTTAAATATGTATTTAAATTTCAGATTGAGTTAAATTGACATAAATAGTAATACAGTAACAACATTATTATTATCAATACCACTATCATTACTACAATCAAGTAATTGTAAACTTTTCTTAAAATTTACATATTTTTGTATGTAAAGAAGCTAAATGCTGTAGTACAATGTGTTATATAAATCACTCATCACAAAATTAACACAATCCCCATTATTGTCATCATTATAATCATACTGTATTAAATTACATTGAGACAACTAAAATTCATGATACTTGATAAAGGGCGTGGCATCAATTAGTAAACCAAAACTTGGGCAGCAACAGCTAAAAGCATTTAACAGCAATTGATTGATTCATCAGGTCGAACGCAAGACATTTGGTTTAGTAGGTGAGCAGTAAAATTTCCAGTAAACAGCTCCACCCTACTAGTAAACATACGCACCTTAAATGCCATAAACTTGTGGTAGGGTTTTGACGCCCATGCATAAATCTCAATACTGTCTCGCAGAGCAATCACCAAAAACTTAATCTTTTCGTACTTCACTACTTTATAATGGATGCAGCCTTCTAGGTCACCCACGGGTACATACGCTATCTTCTTCTTGCTATCTAATGCCTGAAAAAGAACCACCTTTGAATATAATTTGCATAATACAATTGCATTAATTTGCCACTGAGGGCCAGTTGTTCTGAAGAATATACTCAGTATTTAAAGACCAGTCAGTAACAGTCTGTGGTTGCTTTGTTTAACACATAGCACACAGGAGAAAACTACAGTCAATAATTTTGTTATTTCATTTCATTTCTGGTTTTACTACCAAACTCACTGCAAAATAAATTGAATTATGAGAAGATATACAATTTTCACAAAATAATTAAATCTATAACTTCAAGAGAACAACATCAATATACCATCAACAAGCCAACACAAAAAAATTGTAGCAATAAAATCAATGGTTATATAAAAGGGCAACACACAAATATCATACAAAAATCCATATAGAAATCAAAAATTCATTCCAACACAGTATGGGAAGTAGCAAATATTTGAGAACTGGATCGTATGTTTCTGAGTATTAAAAAAAAACCTGTAGCATTGCTCTAAACAATGGCTGCTGCCATCTGGTGTTCCAAGGAGGCTGTTTTGGATAATACTAATATTTTAAAAAAATGATTTTAAAAGAGCATTTCAGAGAGGATGTAGGCCAGGATATTAGTAACAAATGGAACATTAAGAAGCTAGATGTTCAAAGTTCTATTTTGAAATTACAGGTGGTAATTGATTGATACTTTAACACCTGTGTAATATTCACACTTGCACTATGTGAAACATCCAAAGTTTGATTAATGAGAGCAAATTTAAGCACCTGCCAGCTAAAAAGATAAATCAGTATTCAAAAACCATAGCAACTGTGAATATTTATCACTTACTTCTTTTAAAGCAGCTACAGTCTTATCAGTCTTTAAAAAGGTAATTATCCATTACCAAGTTTACACCAGATCATTCATACCAATTTCACAGTTTAAGGCAAGCTGGGAGATTTTATAATATTATAATTCAAAGCCTCCATTCAGAAAAACTTCTTTCACAATTTTATGTAAATGTAGCATTAAAATATTAGTTTCTATTCTCAAATCGACCTCATTAATTTTATAAATTTATAATCAAGTTTGTTGATCTTTTGTGGGTGAATTGTTGTTTGCCTTTCGGGTTGAATTGCTTCATTTTGTGGCTGAATTGAGTTCCAATCACATGGCAATTACTGAGTATTAAAAAATGAACTTTAACATTGTTAAGACATTTTTGTGATATTACAGCACTATATAAAATGCAAGTTTCTGTATATTTTAACTAATTTTCGCTCTGAAACTACAATACACTGGCGAGTGTGCTACAATTGCCTTACCATGTCACTGCAAGTTGTACATTCATCGACAACAATGTACCATCATTCTATGAATATATGTGAGGTCTCACTACAAATTGAGTCTCATCGTTAAAAAAAATCAAAATATAAGTTTATATTACATTTTGGTAGATCACTGTTTTAGTCGGAAATTTACTTAAAAAGTACACAATCATAAAATATAAGTATCAAGTTATTTGAAAACATTAAAATCAAAATTTTGTAAAAATGTTGCCGTTGACCTATTTTGGTTAATATCTCAATGTGATTTCACCAACGATGCGTCTGATTTCTTGTTGAGACCTCACATATTTGTGTCTGTGTTTAGGTTTAAACAATGTTTGCTTGCCAGTAATAACCAGCTTGTTTTGACCATTTGTAATACGGTAAATGTGCTATCTGAGTTGCAATTGCATGACAAGTGGAATGAACTGCTTTACACTGATTGTTCTGGTTAATTCATCCTTTTTTACAAATGTCTGTTTGAAATTGCTTTTGTACAGTATTCTTTTCTTTTTTGATATGGACAAAGGATGTCTGAAACAAAATTTGAATTGAATTTAATACTACACTTAAATGCCAGTCTCATCTGAACGTTTACATCCGATACCCAGTAACACTCAAATGACAACATCCATGGAATTTGCCAATCACTCTTACTGCTTACCTCCTCATTCTTGACAATTTTTTGCTTAAGCCAAGACAGGTAATAAGCCTTCAATTTGTTCTTTTTACCTGGAATTTAAACGGAAAATTCAATTGCTACAACCATGCTAAGATGTTATATATTGCAGGTGCCATATATCACAAGGTTATATATGGTAGGTCTTAGGCTGGTCAGTCACTGCACTGTAAGCCAATCAAACTCTTCCCCCTGCGAGTGCTAGACGATGCAAAGCCCATCCGTCTCCTGATTGTTGTTGCAGTCTGAGCAGATCATCATTAAAAATGACCTGTTATGCATATCATAGCAACACATATATATTTATCATATATATTTATCATTTATATCACAATTATTACAAATGTAATGTATCACCAGTGTACATATCACAGATGTTATATAAAGTTACATATTGCAGGTGTTTTATATCACATCAGTTTATATATTGAAGTGTTATATAACACAGGTGTTATATATCACATCAGTTTATATATTGCAGTGTTATATAACATAGCTATTATATATTACAAATGTAATGCATCACCAGTGTTTAATATTGCTGGTGTAAATAATAATATAACAATCTTAACCTTACCACATATGCAAACCATTATATTTTGGCTTTCCAGGACATCCATCTGCTGGAATCGTTTACGTGAAATCAGAGGATATACTTTCCCTTGACCACTTCTGTCCAGCAGGACAAGTCCACTATCTGACCCAATGAGTAAATTCACACCTGAAATAAGCAATAAATCAATCTGTCTATCGACTGATGATCTCACAATATCTTTTATATTTCATCACCATCTTTCCTCTATTTCTGAGGAAAATTCATTATTTAAAGGCTTCAGTCTAGTATGCCATTAGGAGGAAAAACAGCCTTGTGGATTATGACTTGTGAACCTGTCAGTTGTAGGAAAGCTCAAAATCTAAATGGAAGTATATTATCTGACACAAAATGATAAAAACAACAATTGACCTTTGTAAAAATAATTCATATTATGGAACTGGCCAAGTAATCTAAAGCTCCATGTATCACACAATTTGTTCACTGAGCTACGTACCCCATAATGCCGCACATAAAATCTCTGAATTGAATCGTTTTCTGTATTTGCGTATTTCGGGCATGTCGTTGAGACTTTCAGGGGTTGTAGGCTTTACATTTACACTAATCTGCGAGCCTCGTCTTGACACGCCTTGGCTTCCGACTGTGGCTGATGTAGCAGCACCAAAACCGAAGGCTGCAAACGACTTCTGCTTTTCCATACCCGATCGTTTACTTGGTGGACTGGGTCCAACAGCTAACCGGTACTATCAGAAAAAGAAGGCAATACATTTGTAAAATTTACAAATTAAATTTTGTGGAAGAATGTGGCAATTAAAGGCTGATGCATTCAAATCTAAAAAAATCTAAAACTTGTTACTTTGCTTGAGTTCAAGGGCAAGGCACTTTTCACCTACATGTGACTTGTAATACATGCACATAAGCAGCTAGTACAGTGGCTTGAAGGAAATTAACATTTCCATATGAAATTCCAGCAACCCCATTTGAGGCATGAGCAAAGGGGCAGATGAAGTTATGGCCAAACATGCTTTAAAGTGTAGGTTTAGTTTTATAGAGCAACATCTTTTTTTTAATTCCCACTTTCAGGATATCAAACTCAGAGTTAAATTACCAAGTGCATAGCAGTTTTTTTGCATGTTGTGCTATACCTGTCTCTTATACACATCTAGATGTGTATAAGAGACAGGTCCACTATCTGACCCAATGAGTAAAGACCTGCTTTCAGAATCAAAATTCAAGGTAAGCTTAGAATTAAATTTAACATGGTCATCATAAATGGCAAGATCCAAACATGGAAGTAGATACATTATTTCCAAGAGCTTATAAAACTTATCCATTAAAATGTGATTTTTACATGTTAATATTCAATTCTGTTAAAAATATTTCATGATTTAGCACCATCATATCTTAGGAACAGATTTACTTTAAGAAATCCACAATACAATACAAGAACAATGGATGTCTTATATACTGAAAAACCTAAAACAGAATATAAAAAAGAAATTTAACTTACCATGGTGCTAAGTTATGGAATAATTTAAATGATGAGTATAGAAATTCAGCAAATATTAATTTAAAGAAAACATTTTAATCTAATCTAACTTCTGATATTAAATTAATCAAATATGTATATTAAATGAATTAATGTACATGTTTTTGATTTATTTTAAACTAAAGATACTATTTAATTTCACATTTTAATCACATTTATTACTTAATCAAATTCTTTAATGTTTATACTTTTGTTATGTATTTTGTATTTTTATATTTTACCACTTATGGCCTTGCACAGCCTTGATGAAAAACACCTTTGGGTGATCAAGTTTTTTTCCCGTGTTTAAATAAAGTAATTATTATTATTATTATTTTGTTTCTTTCCTTGCCAAAATGTAAATATTGTTTTGTATTTATTATTACTATATTTCAGTCCCTATACAGTGAGCAGCAGTACATTAACAGTGAATCACTGTAAAGCGCCACTTTTGCGTACCATACAGTATATACAACTTGGTATTATCAGTTAAGGCAGAGTCGTACCAACGTACAGCTATAATATTGGCGCTGGCTCTAGTTCTGCTGGTGGAACAAGTCTTCTGGGATAAAAACTACAAACTGTAGGCCCAGTGTACATTACTTGGCTCATGTGCACTTTTAAAGGTGCACAACTCTATTTTATCTGATCGTACTCATCCGCTTTTTAATAAATTCGTGAAAATTAATAGAACTGATCGCATATTACAATGTAAAATTAAAACTATCATATATAGAAAGTCATTTGTTCCTACAGCAATTAGATTTTATAATGTTTTAGTGTATTTTTTTTTATAACTTTAACACATTTTTAAACCGATTTTTTAACTGAGGAATTCTTTAATTTATTTGTACCACAGTTCCTCGGGCAAAATCCCCCCGACTTGCCTGTACTCGCGTATAGGCATTTCGCTGGGCAAAGTACCAGGATACAATTTAGGTGAGTAGGCTTAAGTCTATAGTAGGTCGGTAAATTTAATAAATGCTCACAAAATATAAAGAATTTGGCTCTGAACCCGGTAGACTTCCATTAATTAGACTAGACATTGGTCGCCGTAAAGTTGAATACAAAGCCCATTCTTGTAAATTCCACTTGTTTACTGTCGCTAAAAATAAACAACTCGCTAACTGCGGCTAAAAACAGACAACACCGCAAGTTACTGTAAGAGCTAGTCCACACTTCAAGACCGTTTCACTATAAAGCGCTATACAAATCTAACTACATTACATCAACTAACCTGTGTTCTGTTAATTGGAGACTGCGATGCTCCGGCTATGAAACTCGATGATATACTAATCCCAGCAATGTTATTCAATTCACTTTCTTCATTCTCTATTATTGATAAGTAAAAAACAAAAGTGTTATTACAATTGAACTTTCCTAAATCGAATTCAAAATGCCACTGAAATATTGTTCGACTTAGATAAAATTCGATTTACAGATTGTCAATTAATGGAAAACACAACAATTTGGCATGTAAAGTAAGATCAACTTAGGCAAGTTTAACTGTATTAAAAAAAAAAAAAAAAGAATACAATCTTCAATATTTATAACAAAAAGCAACCCTCTAATTAGTGACCGAACCTGTCTCTTATACACATCTAGATGTGTATAAGAGACAGATACAATACAAGAACAATGGATGTCTTATATACTGAAAAACCTAAAACAGAATATAAAAAAAAAGTTTAACTTACCATGGTGCTAATAATGGAATAATTTAAATGATGAGTATAGAAATTCAGTAAATATTAATAAATTTAAAGAAACCATTAATCTAATCTAACTTCTGATATTAAATTAATCAATTATGTATATTAAATTAATTAATGTACATGTTTTTGATTTATTTTAAACTAAAGATACTATTTAATTTCACATTTTAATCACATTTATTACTTAATCAAATTCTTTAATGTTCATACTTTTGTTATGTATTTTGTATTTTTATATTTTACCACTTATGACCTTGCACGGCCTTGATGAAAAACAAGTTTTTTTCCCGTGTTGAAATATATAAATTATTATTATTATTATTTTGTTTCTTTCCTTGCCAAAATGTAAATATTGTTTTGTATTTATTATTACTATATTTCAGTCCCTATATAGTGAGCAGCAGTACAT